GCAACGAATAATCTCTCACAAATATATTATTATGATACCAAACGATTGAAAACGATCATTAGCAAACGATTGAAAATATTGAATGCATGAATTAAAAATTATAACCGTAACTTCTGAAAATACAGAAAAAAATTCTTTTGCTTAAAGAATGTTTTGATTATTGATGAGTGTGTCAAAATCGGTGCGTACGTCAGAATGGATGAGTATCTGAATCTGGATTTTTTTTATCAGTTGGAGCTAAGAGGTAAAAAGACCGTTATTGAGTAGTGTATGGAGAAAAGTTTGATTGCAATATCGTATAAGTGCCCAATTTGTGGAACAAATATGAAACTAGTAGAGCGAAAAAACCGTATAGACGGTTTTGAGTAGATGTGTAGATTTACTGGAGGCGAATGTAGGCATTCGATTTCAAGGTTTGTTCGAAAGAACTCCTGGTTTGTGAAGAGTAAATTCGACAACTCAAATCAATGGAGTTGGTTACGCGCGAGTTTCTGCAATTCTGTAATTTTTTTAAGTAAAAGCAGGTTTCTGAGTATATGAGCAATGGATAATTTATTCAATGTCTGATTTTTTTAAGTAAAAATAGATCGGTGTGCACATGAGCAAAGCCAATGTGGTGCGCAATGCCGAGGTTGTGCGCGATGCCAAGTTTGTACAATTCTGGGATGTTTTTTAGGTGAAAATACATCGAAGTGCACATGGACAAAGCCAATGTCGTGTACAATGCCAAGGTTGTGCGCGATGCCGAGGTTGTGCAACTCTGGGATGTTTTTTAAGTGAAAATAGATCGAAGTGCACATGGACAAAGCCAATGTGGGGCGCAATGCCGAGTTTGTGCAACTCTGGGATGTTTTTTAGGTGAAAATAGATCAATGTGCACATGGGCAAACACAATGTGGTGCACAATGCCAAGGTTGTGTGCGATGCCGAGTTTGTGCAGTTCTGGGATTTTTTTAAGTGAAAATAGATCGATGTGCACATGGGCAGAGTCAATGTGGTGCGCAATGCTGAGGTTGTGCAACACTAAGATGTTTTTTAAATGAAAATAGATCGATGTGCAGATGGGCAAAGCTAATGCGGTGCGCAATGCCGAGTTTGTGCAATTCTGGGATGTTTTTTTAAGTGAAAATAGATCGACGTGCGCATGGGCAGAGTCAATGTGGTGCGCAATGCTGAGGTTGTGCAACACTAAGATGTTTTTTAAGTGAAAATAGATCGATGTGCAGATGGGCAAAGCTAATGCGGTGCGCAATGCCGAGTTTGTGCAATTCTGGGATGTTTTTTTAAGTGAAAATAGATCGACGTGCGCATGGGCAAAGCCAATGTGGTGCGCAATGCCGAGGTTGTGCGCGATGCCCAGTTTGTGCAATTCTGTGATGTTTTTTTAAGTGAAAATAGATCGATGTGCACATGGGCGAAGCCAATGTGGTGCGCAATGCCGAGTTTGTGCAATTCTGGGGTGTTTTTAAGCGAAAACAGATCGATGTGCACATGGGCAAAGCCAATGTGGTGCGCAATGCCAAGGTTGTGCGCGATGCCCAGTTTGTGCAATTCTGAGATTTTTTTTAAGTGAAAATAGATCTATGTGCACATGGGCAAAGCCAATGTGGTGTGCAATGCTGAGGTTGTGCGCGATGCCGAGTTTGTGCAATTCTGGGGTGTTTTTTAAGTGAAAACAGATCGATGTGCACATGGGCAAAGTCAACGTGTTGCGCAGTGCCGAGTTTGAGCAATTATCTGATTTTTCTTTACGTGAAAATAGATCGATGAGCACATGGACACCGAGTTTGTGGAATTCTTTGATGTTTTTCGAGTGAATACTGATCGTTGTGTAAAAGGGAAATGAGGTTGTGTGCGATGCCGAGCAGTAATGTAACTTTATTTATGTGCAATATTTATATCATTTGTGTATTTTAAATTTGTATTGTTGTTTTAATTGTGAATTATATTTAAGACATCATTTTTCATTTAAATTGTATTCTTAATTGTTTGGTTTTGATATGTTTATAATGCTTTCCAACTTACGATATATATTGTCAGCCCGACGATCTGCTCAACAGTAGCAAAACTGTAAACTTTAACCCTTTAAGTAACGTTTACCTCATATTTTAATACGTAGTGTTTGGTATCGTAATTGCACTTGATAATATGAGTTCATTGATAATATGTGTGTGTGTGCGTATGTGAAGCATTGCTTAGTGTTCCAAGTTTGTAGTATTTATTTTATTTTATTATTTTCTTTCATTCTGAGAAATTAGATTTTTTTATTTAATGTGTAGAATTCTAGTATGCCTACACAGAATATGTCGGGATTTAGGAATTTTAGAAACTGATATGAAAGCTGTGTAATGATGTTCATATGCAATAAAAAATATTCTTCTTTTTTAATTAATATAAAGTTAAAAAGTTTTAGAAAATTATGAAAATTGTCTAATTATTGGTATGCCAGGAATTATGTCATTACGTAGCAAGAAAATAATTTGTAAAAATGATAAAATTGAAATGTTCCACAATATGAATTTAAATTAAAAAAAAACTTATTTGTATAAATGCTTTAATATCTTTGAATTAAAATCTTTGAAAATATTGAAGCTCTACAAGTATTAGAGGCTGCGACGTTGTTTATCGTTTTAATAATTGGTAGAATTCGCTCACTGTATCATGGTAATTTTAAATATAAACAATTTATTATACTTATTATCAATAACGCCTAAGCTTAAATGTTATAAATGTAAATTAAAAGTAAAGAATTTGATATTAATTTACAATAATAAACAATTTATTATTGTTATTTTTAAGAGAAAATAGAAAGTACGCGTAGTGTTGCGAGACTACATTGTGACGTCACAAGCTTAGTCCCACCCATTTGTGGACATCACACAGCTCCACCTACTGAACTTTGTTAATGCAGCCTATTCTGCACTTTTATCTAATTCGCTTCCGATAGTGAAGAAAGTGACCCACAGGTTATTGAAAACCAAAACATTTCGATTGACAAATTAGTCGGTATTCTCAACACAGCAATTATAGGACTTAAACAGCGGAACTTTGTAACTAAACAAGAAATTATGTCTGTTTAATAGAATTAAAGAGAAAGTATTATCACATGAAATGAAGCAACTTACATTGAAAGAAATGTTTAATAAAGTAAACAAATAAATATTAAGCTTTTTCTTTTTGTAAATTTTTATACCCTTTAGATCATAATTGTTCTTTATTTCATAAATTACGGTTTCATATTTTTAATTTTGTAATTTCTGCATGCCATCTTACTAGATTTAAACTGATGATCTATAATCCGGAAAAATCGATAATCCGGAATCGCCGAAAGTCCCGACGAGTCCGGATTAACGACTTTTGACTGTATAGGAGACTGGAAGATAGGATAGAAAGAAAGAAACTTGTCTATTAATATCTCTGTGCCATTTGTATATGTATTTGACTTTGTTTAATCACAGTTTCTGCATTTGCCTGCCACAGTGTCAAAAATCAAGGTTTATTGCCTATTGTGTGTAATAAAAAATTATTTTAAATGACATAATGTGCTTTTATTTCATCTGTGTTATGTGTAGAAGATATTTATCTATAGGTATATTAAATGCTTCTAGAATGTTTTTCAAGCTGCTGTTTTTAAGCACATAACAGTGTCTAGAAGTGTTTCTATATACTGTCTTTTAAACAAAGCTATAACTGTTGCCCGCTACTGTTGAGTAAGCAATAACTAAATTTAGATATTTATTGGATCTAATAAAAATTTTAAGGAAAATAAATGCGATAGAAGATTGTGTAATAAGTTGGTTAATTGGTTTTGTTTTCCATTAGCTATATTATGTGTTAAAAATATATTTACAGGTACTCCTTGGCTAAAATTGGCGATTTTTGGCAGTACATGAATACCGAGTTTGTGCAATTCTTTGACTTGTTATTTTGGCTTGTGTAGCAGCAATTTTTGGCACAAAAATCGCCGCTACGCAAAGCCAAACTAACAAAACAAAGAATTGCGCAAACTCGGTATCTATGTACACAACAACCTATTTTCACTTCAAAAAACATCAGAAAATTGTACAAAATAGGCATTGCACACTCCTTTGACTTTGTCCATGTACGCATCGAACTGTTAAAAAGTCAAAGGAGCAGCCAACAAAATATATAGATATATATTATCTCAATAAACTACATTTTAAATCAACAAAAAAGGAAATTCATCTTTAGACTACACAAAGGAAATATCCACTTACCTTATTTATGAATTAACACATTTTCAGTCAAATAAAATTCTTTACCAGCATCCAAAAACTTTCTAAAATTATCTAAACTAGAATCTGTACACTGGCATCGCCACAAAAATTCACAAAATAAGAGTCAAAAGTATCCTTCGTAGTGCTGTATCGTCCGACCAAACGCGTTTCCTTTCTTCAAACAGGACACTTAATAATAACATACGAAAACCTAATCAACACACACACAAGCCCTTACGAATTTACTGCAATCAGGCAACCGATTGCATCATAATAGGATTTCCATAACATTCAACTACTCAGGCTACAATAAATGAAACAACAACTTCGCGATAATACAAGGGGTGCCCTTCTCTCTACTCTAACTTTTTATGTATATACGTCATTGAAAAGTGTTGATTTAACTATCTGAGCACTGGGACAAAATTCACTAAAATGGAGAATATAATTCAAATGAAATAATAAATTAACTGAGAAATAGTGATTACTGCAATAATGTACCACCAAATTTAAGTGCTAGTGCAGTAAGAATATTGCACTCATATATTCAGGATAAATGATGAGCATTCTGTTCATGGATTCTGCAATCAAAGGGTTAACATTAGTTTTGTGGATTTTAAATGTTTTAAAATTGAATTTGAAAAATATTATGATTTTTAAATTGTATTCTTTTCAGTCAATCAAATTTTTCAAATGTGTACATGTATGGAAGTTTCAAATTTTTACATTCATTTATTTATTTACTTTTCTCCCCCTCTCCAGATAGCAGTTTTGTATATGGCTACAAGATTATATGTTAATTTATCCCAAATTTATATGCCTTTGTATATACAAGATAGTCTTGAACTCCATAAGGTAAGCTGGCATTCTTCATTGCATTTTGGTAATTTTTAAATTGAATTTTAAAATATGTATACAAGAAAGTATTTGCAAAACAAATCTTTTTATAGTAGGTATATGTATTCTTTTCTGTCTTTTTAGCATTTTGTCACATAATTTACTTCCTTTACTTTGTTTATTAGAAAAGAACCAACAGAATCATGCAAGTGCAAAAAAGTATCAAGAATTTTAAATTTAACTGCTACAGTAGATTAAAAATATTTAAGTCATTTTTAGGTTGCTAATTTATGCAATATTCATATCAAATAAAAAGAAATATACATATATTATAATTTCAAGAATGTAATAATTATTAAGAATGGTTCCTTAAGTGATTAAGTGATATGAACTATAGAAAATTTATTTGTTGAACCAAAACACTAAACATCATATTGTATGTAAAACTTTTGTTCATTGTTAAATTCATTTGCATGCAATTAAGAAGTTTTATAATCTCAAGAATTAGAATGTAAGAATAACTTATGCTGAAGGCATGTACAACAGGGCTTCTAACATTTCAGGAATCCTTTTTATCTGAGCAGATATTTCATGATTGTGAGTATACACGTATATAGTTAGGAATGTGAATGAAAATGTTTGCAATAATAAATCATAAAGAAAATTTATTCAAAATCAATCCTTTAGTTTACATATGACTATAATTATATTATTAAAGATAAAGGCAAGTACTAATAAGCTAGGTCTGCATGTTTACTTTCACATAAGAATTTAAATCTTGTATAAATATTTGATACTGCAGACTGTTGAATTTCTTCAGTGTTTTTTTTTTTTTTGTTTTTTTTTTTTTTTTTTGTTTTTTGTTTTTTTTTTTTTTTTTTTTTTTTTTTTTTTTATATATAAATACATTGAAGATTCCAATTTGTATAAAGTACTAGAAGCATGTATAATACCATTTCAGAAAGCATTGTAAATTTTTTCTTAATCTCCAGCAAAATTTCAATTTTAAAAATTTTTGGAAAAATCGAGTTTTAAACCAATGTCACATAATAATTTGGCAAACTCCCAGGGCCAGATTTATAAACTTGATCAGGCCTTAAGCTATTTGAGATATAGGGTCCTTTATATATCAGTGCCAGATATGATTTTCGGATACCTAGAGTGTTTGGGGGGGCCCGCTTAAAGCAGATGCTATACCATCCGCTTTAAGCTATAGCTTGTGTAGCTTATACGTACCGCTTTAAGCTATAGCTTGTGTAGCTTATACGTAAATCCTGCACTGCAGACTCTTCTTAGCAAGTTTAATGAAAGTAGCTAACAATAATCATTTATGTATGATTTCTGAACTGCATTTTCTTTTTCAGTGTCAGAAATTGAAGGAACATATTCTTTGAAGTTATGCCGTATGCTTCAAATGATCATTTGCTACTTTAGAAATTAAATCTCAGGAAAGGTTATTCTCAATTATGAAAGCATATGTAACTGTAAACATTTCCACTCTTTAGCTTAATTTTTTAATAAAACCTTCAGTTTTATATTCTGATATTACAATTATGTCCTGGAAGTGACCTATTTAAGTCACTTAATTTTTTACAGCTATCTGAAAGTAATAGTTTTAAAAGTAATAATTTGCTACCAAAAATGAATAAAATTGGGTTTCTGCTCAGTTTAAAATGTAACAATTTTATCTTTCAACTGTAATAATCTATAGACTTTGTTCTCTAGAGAGCCACTGTACTTTCTGCATTTAACAATAAGGCTTGGTAATCAGAATTCGTAGCTTTGCAGATGTTTGCAAATAAGCGCCTTGGCTTTTTATGAAATTAATGATTCTGATAGCTCTTGCAAAGCAAAGCACTTAAAGCTAGTGTCTCTTCCCCTACAAGTGTACTTTCCATGGATCATGCATATAATAAAAATGATATGTTCATTGTCATCAGCTTAAACTTTTATGCAAATCCAATATTCTCATCCATCATTGTCCCAGCATGGATCTGTGTAGACACTGACACAATGACTCCATTGTAAATCCTGTTTTGTAAAATCTTTATCGACTTTAAGATCCTCTCTTGTGCATATTCTCAAACTAAGCAATAATTTTTCATACATACTTCCTTCAAATTGTCTATTACTAAAATAGATGATTAGAATAAATTTGAGAAAGTAACTGACATCAAATTTCATAGCTGTAAAAGAATAGTTTATGCTAAAACACGTGGATATTTTTGAGTGTTATGATTAGAAATATCAGAAATAAGTATGACAAAGTTAAAAGCTTAAAACTTGAAAGTAAATGGCTACTTTCTAATTATTATGTACTTTGGTTTCAATATGCAGATTTTTTTATTTCCAAGTATACACCCTACAATAGCCAACCCATGCATGCACATGCTTGTGTGCACATACAGCTTTATATTTAATTGTCATTGGAATTAACTGTAGCCACCAGCTACAAAAAGTGCAAATAAAGGCCATGTAGATTTTTTTTCTCTTATAAGGAATCATGTTTCATATAAAATGCTTCTTTCTAATGTTATTTATGAACAGAATTGTATCTATGAGGTGTAATATTAGTAGAACAAATGTTTTTTTTTTTTTATCAATTCACAAAATTGCCAAAGAATTGGCACCTTTTTGTAGAAGTGTGGATAATCAGGAAATATCAATAAAAGAATGTTAATATAAATTTGTATTAGCATGAAAACTCAACATATTCTGCCACAAAATCTGTGTTTAGTTTTGATGTTTTTACTATAGAATAATTGATGGATAAAACCAGTTTCCTATAATAGTACTAGCAAGTGATTAAATTGAATTTGAGTACAACTCACCGGTTAATCTCATTACTTATCCTCTTATGTATAGGAAAATAAGGTTGTCAGAAGTTACAGCATAATTTGGGGGCTAATGCTCTAGGTCAGTGTTTTCCAACCTTTTCACTCTGATGGAACATTTGTGATAGTGTTCAAGTTCTAGGGAACCCCAGCCTCCATGTAACAATATTTTTTTAATAATGATCACTAATGGAAACAAAAAATCACTGTCATTTTAATCTTTATTTCTAAATAAAAAAGTGCAATTAGTATAATTCTAAATCTAATAATTATTTATCTGTACATATATATTTATCTATATATATATGTATAGATAAATAATTAATTTGTAGTGTAACAATTAATAATAATATTAATATAAAATCTGCACCTGTTTTTTGAAACATAAATGTTGAATTTGGGATCTGATTTTTGATAGACATACATGAGTTTCATCTTCCACAAAAAGGAAATGATTTCCATCCATACCCTTAATACTTCTTAAATGAGAAAAGGCTTGTTCACAATGTACGATGGTGAAAACTGTAGAAATGTATTAATTGCTTTTAATTAAAATTAATTAAATAGCAACTATGTAACTGGTTTGAAGAAAATAATTTAAAAGAAAAAAAAATGTTGGTCTTTGAGCTGATAATATGTATTCTAACTTTGAAAGAGCTGATAGACGTGGAGAAAATGATGTTTTTGTTAAACTGAAATGAAATCTTACCCATGCTTTAATTGGAGTCAGATGTGCAATGTGTATTATCCGTAACACTATAAGAACATCAGCTGGTGTTTTGGGGGATTGATATAAAAATGATTATCTTCCCTTTATTTTCTCTACTTTTCACTAGACAAAAGCATGGAAAATATCAAAAATGCTTCTAATCTTATCACTTGGGCAGGCATTATAGAAAGAGATTTTTTTATTAATAAAGAAATTGGAAACTTAAAATTTAAAAGATTCATGTAATGTGTCTAAATGCATCGTACACAGAGCTGGTGCTATACGTTTTCCCACCTGATGCAATCTCTGTGTATCCTAAATTCTGCTGCCTAGTGCTTATCTAAATTCTGCTTCCAATGCCTGCTCTAAATTCTAAAAGTTTTGCCGTTTCTATATTTTGTTGTTCTGTGTGTTACTAAATTCTAAAAATTCTGCCACATCTGCACTGTAACCGGCCTTTACCATATATATTTCATATTTCTTCTGAATGTTCATATTACTAAGGAAATAAAATTAGCCGCTCTTTTTTGTACATTCTAAATGCATTTAGTGTTTTTAGAATAACAGAAATCCTTAATTAATCCAAAATTCTAAAATTGAAAAGGAAACACTTGAAGAAAGAAACCGAATACTTAAGAAAATTATCTTCAGAGCTAGTAGTTATTATTATTAAATACCCATTGTTTATCATTTCAGCCTTTACTAAACCTACCATTTCTGTTCCTCATATGATAGTTACTGAGCCAGATTAAATTAAAATTAAATTGTATATCTTTGACACTAGTCCACATTTTTAGTTTGAATTTGACTGTATTTTTTATTACATCACCGTGAGCTGTAATTGACTTTGTTAGCATCAGAACATGCCTTTATGTTCTATGTTCTTTGTCTGATATTGTAGTTTCTTTCAGATACAGTGATAATTTGCTTCACGTCTATCGGGGGAGGACTATTTAACCAGATCAAGTAAACCCTCATAGGTACATTGTGAAGAGGTTGACAAATTAGGAGAAAAGCACACAGAAACTAGCGATTGATTTGCATAGAGACAAATTTCTAATTATTGTCAGAAAAGATTGATAATTAAAGAGAGGAAAACTGATATAAATTAGCCAAAATGTTGGGGAAGGCTTGTAGAGATATTAGGTATTTTTTAAAGCAGGAATGATAAAAAATTAACAATGCCTTCGCCGGGAATCGAATCGCGGACCTCTGGAATACTGCTACCAGTGTGCAAACCACTACACCATGAAGGGTAGCCAAGAAGGTGGGAGAAATACTTTATATACTCCTCCTTTTAAACGGCTCCTCCTTTCAAGGAATGCAATAAAGTCTGCCCAAGTAGGAGGCTCAGTAGTGTTCAAACTCATTTCGAATAATTTATGAGTTTCCTTATCTAATTTAGGGAGAATTAAATTTATCAGTATGAGATCCGAAAACGTATGCCTTTCAATGCTCCAATGCTTAAGAGCTCTACTATTTTGCGAAATATTATCCACTAACTTTCTGAGCTTGACTGGTGATTCATGATTTATTTTTTCCATGTTTATAATGGAGTTAATGTGTCTGTCAACAATTAAGCTCTTATTTCCAAAGCGATTTTCTAATGCTTTATAAATACTGAAACGGATTAGTTCTGTTTCAATCTGTTTCGCTACACCTCGTAGAGACGATTTCAAATAATAAAGCTTTTCAACTTCCGATAAGTGAGAATTGTTAGAAATTATGCTATTAAATTGAATTTTAAAATTGTTCCAATCCTCATATTGGCCAGAAAATGTTGGCAAAGGTATATCCGGTAATTTAATTCTGCTCCCAGTAACTTTAACAGTTGAATAAGTCTGACTTTCGATTACTGGTTGCTGTCTTAAAGACGTTCTTAACTGTCTATGCGCTCGCATTTTTAAAAGACTTATTATTTCTTTATACTGTTCTGTTGTATTAATTTCATCTTCTAAATCATCAATCGCAATAACTTTTTCTATTTCGCTGTTTACTAAATATAAGGCTTGCTCTTTAGCTATTAACTGAGCAAGTAGTTCTTCAATAACCTCACTGTTTGGATTTGAATTTTCAGTTTCGATTTGGAGTTTATCTAATACCTTCGTAGTAATAGTTCGCAAAGAAGCCCTTTTTTTCTTTATTTTTTCTATTTCCATCTTGAATAGTCAAATAAAACAATTTTTCAGACAGTTCGAAATTTAAAGCAATGTATAAATTAAACAAATGCAATGATTCGAATGCTTAAATTATACAGTTCTTAACTGAAAACAGTAGAATCAAATTTCACTTACCCATTTTTCTCAGGGTAACGACGAGCTGATCACTATATAACGATATCCAGACACAAAGAATTCTCAAGAAAACGAACGTTCATCCATATCCAATGAGACAGGGAATTCTAAACGAAACTAAAGTTCTACACAAAATCTTCACGAGCCAGTTCCAAGTTCTGGCTCGACTTGCCAAAAAATGTTTGTATCGAAATGTGGACTGTATGAAGCGATAATGTCTTTTAGTAGTTTTATTAAAAACTCAACAATAATATAAGTGATACATTACTTAGAACCGAAATTCTTCACAATTGACACGGATGCGACTTGGTATCTGCTGACGAACGAACTAACAATTTTCCCGCCTAGTTGGCGGCACGCAGTTTGAATTGTAAGATCGTCAAGTTTGGCGCAATTACAGTTAAAGGCAGCAACAGGGTAGTTCCAAATATTTTAACCACTGAAGGCTTATTTTCAATCTCAAGAAAAGTGTCCCAGGCTTATTTCAAAATTCTTTGAAAATCCAGTGGCAGAAGCTTGGCTACATTTTATTAACACTCAGACTACAATATTTCATAAAATTATCACAATTGAAAATCAGGCTATGCCCATATTTGATGTCATTACTTCAGCAGATTTTCTAAAAACTTCAGTGTTGCATAAGGTACTACATTAACTCTTCCGTAACTTTATTCCAATAAATTTTAAAAAACTCTGGAAAAACTTGAAGAGAATGGAGATCACAATACAAAGTTATTAAATTTCAAGAAGCTACTATTTCATTTTATCAGACTACTATTACTTATTTGGAGAAATGGATAAAAAAAGTGTATTTCAGGAAATGTAAATGGCAACATCCATTCATGGAAATTTTAAACGCTGGATCATATTAAATGAAGTAAGTCTCTTTTTGAAGTCAAGGTGAAACAGCCTTTTTGTTAATTAATAAAATGATACCAAATAATAAATTATTGGAAATATATGTGAGGAATATATTTACCTCAATATATCATGGAAGAAAAAATATTAGAATGATAAAAAAAATAAGATATGCCTAGTTCAGAGGTGGGTGAAAATAACTGCATATTTTAATAAGAAACAGATTCCTTGTTCAAATGTTTTAAAATTGCCAGAGATTTTCTTTTGTCTTCCTGGCACTAATGCTGCATCTGAGCGAGTATTTAGCTATGAACACTTTTTGGACTAGTGATAAGACAAAGATTAAGGTGGACACTTTGAAGGGTAAGCAAGTCTCCAAAATAAATTTTTATGAAAATTGCTTGTTTTAAGATCAAAAAGGAAAAAGGTGTTCTAAAATAAAAGAAATATTCATGCTTCAGAGAAATATAAGGGTACTTCATGTAAATAATTTAGAAGATTTACAAATTTATTATTTTGTTAAAAATGAATACTACGTTTTGATTCATTCTTATTAAAAAAATATTATTATATCATTATTAAAAAATTAAACAAACATTATTTATTTTGATTTATGTATATATATATTGTCCTACATACCACCTCCTCTAGAGTAACATTAGTAATAAAATAAGTTATTTGCAAAAAAAAAAAAAAAAATATGTGTATAGCATCTCAAATTTCAAACTTCAAAACTTGCACGCCTTAGTAAATGAGCTAAATTAATCAAATTTAATTATGTTGTTGTTATGATATTTTTGTTGATTATTTTCTTTTTATAATATTGTAAATAGTGTAATATTTTTTTAGGCCAAAATTGCTATCATTCCATTAGTTATATATGTGAGTGGTTTTCTGTCTTCATTTTTCATGAAGTTCCTAAATAGTGTTCTAGGAAATAAGGTGGGTTTAATGTTTCTGTTTTAAAAAGTATGGCATTTTATTATATTGTACTGTGTTTATAGATAGAAAACCTTATAACATTTTTATGAGATTTTTTTCCTCTCTCTCAGATAACATACTTTTTAGGCTGTTTACTAGCATTATCTGCATCTACCTGGATATATTATGGTAAAGGATCTACATATTGTGAATATGAATTATATGCTGTTGCTGTTCTCATTGGCATAGCAGGATCAACTCTTTTGATTATATCACTTGCCATAACATCGGATCTTATTGCAAACAGTACAGTATGTATATATTGTTAATCTTTGTAATAGTTTTAAAGCATGGAAATCAATTTTTAATAGAAGGGTTTGACTTTATTTTTGGTACTTTTAATGTATAAGAGTGTGCAGTCTTTTGGTAATAAATTAATTATTAGTTTTTTATGATGTCTATTAGCTTGTGATAGGTAATGTGTGTGATTATAAAATATTGAACAGGATGAAATAAAAAGCAAATTTTATTATCTTAAAATAAAAATATGCTGTAGTTTTCATTAAAAATTATCAGTTACATTGTCTGACATAAAGCGAAATTGATTTTATAATGCCTGATATAAAGTGAAATACATTTTATTATGCATGAAAGCTCAACTTAGTTTTCATTTTTTATATGCTTATAAATTTGTTAGTAAGCTTGTATCTATATATTTGAGATATGGCTGATATATAATTTGAACAAATATTAGTTTTTTTTTTTTTCTTTTACTACTATTTATCTTTTAATCCTTCATGTTTTATTTCTTCAATAATGTATTGATATAAATTTATTGAATATTTATCATAATAACATTTGCTTCAAAACAATTTTAAAATGCAATTTAAAACAATATTGTGTTTTTATCAATTTTAAGGAACATGCTACTTTTTCCATGTGCTGTTTTTCCAGATATCAAATATGCTTGTGTACGCACACCAAAAAAATATAATAAAATTTTTAAAAAGTTGGTAGTGACCTTTGAGGTTCGGATTTTAGATCATTCCGGATATTGGATGTCCAGATCGCGGACTTTGTACTGTATATATATATATTGTTCCAACAAATAACAGCATTGTCATTTCTTTTTGGTTATAAACTGGTAGCAGGCTAGAATCTATGCAATCATTTTTAGTGATTTAAGTGGTGTGACTGTTGTGTGAAGGTGCAGCCTGTGATATGCAAAATAAATATAATTTCCTTAAAAAATTCATTATATTCTTTTCAAAAGAAGATAACTGTGTAATATGCTGTGGTCAAATAAATTAGTAATAGTTATTCGGTTATCTCTTCTGTAAGATCTCTCCCAAGTTTTTTTTTTTTTTTTTTTTCCTAGTTAGAAAATATAAAAAAATTCAATGGAATTTTTGTTTTGTTCTTTTCTTTTTGAAGGTGGTTGCTTTTTTTCAGCATTAAATAGGGTGTAATTATGCATATTTTTTGCTTTCCAACCAGAAATTATTTCACATCTGCATATTAGTTCGCTTGAACAAGTCATTCATCCGTTAAAATCTAATTTATGGGATTTCAGATATCGTAATTTTTTTTTAAAAAAAAAAAAGCAGAACTGATTGAATATGGAAAAAAAAATAAGTTTTTCATGCTTTATTTTTGCGATTATTCTTGTGGATTAAAATTTTTGAATGTAATTCATTGTTACTTTATTCACTGTTGATACTTTCAAAACCAGACTGGTTTACAGGAAACTTAAACCTGTGTTTCCAGTCCTGAAAATGTTAAATTAATATTATTAAAATTTGTTGAATAGCTATTCACAGAGTAAAACAAGGGGAAGGCAAGTGAGGTACTTGCCTCGGGTAAATGGCTAAGAGAGGTGCCAAATTAACTACAAAATTTTAGAAATGCATTTAAAAAATAAATTATGATAATTAACTTTTAGTTTTGAAATGTATTGAGAAGCACCATATTGAGGTAACACATTTAAAGCAATAAAAAGGGCACTATATTCTTCAATACTTGTGCATAAAAGTTCTGCACTTAAAAAAAAGGGCTTATCTAATATAAAATCCTGATGAATAAGTTGGCTACATAAAAGATTTTGTGGTTTTTCCCATGTGTTTCCGTCCAAACACAAGCCAGTTTCCATTAGAAAGTTCTCCACAAAAGTATCCCACTATTTCCACAAATAGTCCTTGTATGTTTTGCATGTTTAATTAAATACAAAAAATATAGGAGGAATATCTGTGTCTTTGCCGACAAATGAAAGAAAATATTGTTGTAAAATGGGAAAATTCAGTTTTAAATATATGAACAGAATATGAAAAGGAATGAAAACAAAATGTTAGTATATGAAATTGTCAATAATCAAATGATAAAAAAGGTAGTTTTGTCAGAAAAATATATTTCATAGTAGAAAGGAAAGAAATTAGATATATTTTAATTTCTCAACTAAAATAGACATATAAAAATAAACTAGATAACTTCTGATTTCCAATTTCTAACTCATAAAAATTAATATTGTTTGATATGAGTATTTTGATAATGAGAAACTTAGCATTTAAATATTTGTTTGATAACCATGCTATTTCAAGAATTCTAAAGCAAAATCAAGTATTTTAAAGATAATTCAGGAATGCATTTTAGTTCAATCGTATCTGAATTTGGAATTTGTGTGAAGAATATTTTTAACATTGCCAATTACGAATTTATGGTGAAAAAAGCTTCAGTGAAAAGTAAAATTTAAAAAAAAAAAAAAAGAAAAGAAAAGAAAAAAAAGAAAGAAAGAAAGGGGGAAAAAATGGGCAAAAGTAGGCGAGAAAAAGCTTCAGAAAATTTTAAAAAAGAAACTGTGCAAAATTTTCTCTTGGCCTCTCCCTCCCCCCCCCCCCCCCAAAAAAAAAAAACATTCAGATATCATTATGTAGATCAGTTAAATAATGAAGTAGATTTTAAAAGTAATTGTTATCGATTTTATTTTATTAAAAGCAAGAAAAATTTAATTACAAAAAGTGCTTGATTATTAATATAACACTTTTTATATTAACTGTAGTACTATTTACATTTTTAATGTTTTCATTTAAAAATTTTAAACTATTATATATATTAATTTTCCAAATATGTAAAGTTGTTATTAAAAATATGATGAGAGTTATAATATGATTTTGTGTATTTACTTTTATCAAATATAGATGAACAAAAAATACAGTTAATTCCATTGCATGTAAGGGTATGCATTTACTTCATTGCCTTGGCAAAAAAATATCTAGGCACATCTCTAGCTATTTACACAGATGCAGTTATAATGGAGTTATAATTAAATATGTCTAGGATAATAATTTGTTAAATGTAAATTTGCTATGATTAGGTACTTTTAATACACAGATTTAGAATTTTTTCATTTCTCCCTGACAAATTTTACATGTAATTGTAGTTCAATAAGTCTACATAAGAATTTGTTTACATTTTGCACTTAGGATAATGTATGTCTTGTAAAGTGTCATTCGTCCCATGTTCTTTTATAACATATTTATTGATTTAATTCCCTTTCTGTTTACTTTCAGACTAGTTGTGCTTTTGTGTTTGGGTCTATGAGTTTTGTTGATAAGCTATCAAATGGTATCGCAGTTGTAATAATTCAGGATATTCATCCATGCTTGTAAGTAATTAAAAGCCCTAGTTGTGGTATAATTTAATGTTAAATTTTCCGTGTATATCTATAAAATGCTTATGATAGTTTTCATTTAAATTGTTTATTGTTATAATCTCTTAGTCTCATATAAGTTCTTGCAGAGTGGTATTAGAGGTTGTTAGAAAAGTAAAGGAATAGTTTCAAATAAAATGACAGACTGAATTTGGTTTGGTGGAGGGGGGTTGCTTTTCTATTATATGGTAAACGCAATTAAAATGTTTAATGAAAATATCAATATTTCTTTGTTGTAAATATCCATAATGAGGAAAATTTGAAAAAAAAAAAACTGATGACTATATGAACAAAATGTGAAAGTTAAATTTTTTGTCTTTTCAAATCAGATTTATTTTAAAATTTTTGTTTTTAAAATTGATTAAATGCTGTATTTTGTTAAGATCTTTTGCTTTTAGTATTTAAAAGGAATAAAATTTTACTATAAAACTTCTAATTTTTTGTAGTTTAGAAACATTTTACAGTATAATTATTCAGTAGCTCTCAGATTATGAACACCTCTCATCACAAAAAATTCTCTGAACAAAAAACGTTTTGGAGGATGAACAGTGTCCTGACTTATGAATGCCAAATTTGGCAAAAAGTTATTTTCAGGCTGTTTGGGAGTAATGTATGACAGAAAGTTAACATTCAGGGACATCTCAAAACATTAGTATTTCCCATTGCTTAACTCTCATTAACAATGCATATGCGTGTATTTTACACCATGGACTTACGTGTATGGTTTGTGTTTTTTCATGAATTTCATGAGAGTTTAATCATTCAGTAAAATTGCACTAAATCACTGCACAAACACCATACGCATTTACAATGCTTATTGTATGTAAATTATATCTGCTTTACATCACAAGTCTACTAAACACATACTTGTATGTGACTTGCACTCTAGAGACAGACTGCAAAAAATGTAAAAGTGTGTTTCCCACATGCAATATGTTAATAAAACTGGGTAGCAAGTAACTTACAGATCCATGAATTTGGTCTGTGTTGAGACATTTACTATGGCATGCAAGATTTTGTTGTTGTCTATGATAATATGTGTCTAGTGAAACACATGTTTTAGAAATTAACACTGAAATGTGGAGAATTTACTATAGGACCATAAATCTGAGCTTAACCCCCAAAACGTGTGTATATATCCATCAAAAACAGCCGTTGTGGATGAAATAGCTTCAGAAGAAACAAAAGGAATGGAAGATGACCCTAGTAATTTTAATCTTCAAAATTTGTGTAGAATAGTATAAAGCGGAAACTTTCATATGAAGATAACATCATTATTATAGCATCCTGCGACACTGACCATTCTATGTCTTATTTAAAAAACATTTTAAACATAGGCAACAATAAATCACATAGCTAAAATTTTGAGTTCATGGTAGGCATAGTAGTGTCAAGCTGGATCGAATGATACTAAGTGACCTAAAAGGTGTCCTAATAAGACATTTACCTAATATTTTTAACAATGGAGAACTCTCATCCAAATAATAACTTCTGCATTACTTTCTACTTATGCTGTCACTTTTCTTTGTATACGTACAGGAAAATTAAATTTTATCTCTTTTGTCTTAAATTTAATAATTTCCATTGGTTTTTGTATTATTAACTTGTGCACAGAGTATTGTTGTAATGTATAAATAAGGGAGGTTTATCCGATAAAAGTTACATTACCATTTATAAAATAACCCAAAAAGGAAAACAAATTGCTTAAGTTAGTTTTCACGTATAAACTAAATTTCTAATGATTAAAATAAAAATATAGCTCTTCTTATTTAAATCATTAAAGAGTACTTGCTACTATAAAAATCAAAAATGCTCAGTGTATTAAATTTATTGATAAAAACAGATATAACAATTATTATTAGAAAAATCTGGTTAATACTTTCCATCTTCTCCAAATGATATTTATTCCAATGTAATTTTTTAAGTATTCAGTAATTTAATAATGCTGTAGATAATCATAATAAGAACATGCATATCCTTTGTTTTCTATCAACCTTGTAATACCACTGAGCAGCATGAACTTGACGCTTTTATAAATTAATTTTCCTGTTCCAAAATTTTAAATCTGATTATCCCTGTCTGAGAACTGTGTTACCTTAATTTAAAAATGTGTCTCAGTTCACAGAATAGAATTTAGTAATATACTTTTCATTGTTTTTATTGACAGTAACAATTTTGTTAGCTGTGCTATTTCATTGCACTGTACATTTTTTAATGGTTGTATAATTTAACTGTAAGTTATATATTTATTTATTTATAGAACTTGTTGCATTGAATGTAAATTCTATTACAAGTATGTTTTGGTGTATGCATGTGGAGGAGCTGTATTACTCGGTCTAGTAGCACTATCATTTTTACTCACTCAGTCAATTGGAGAAAGAAGAAATGAAGGTAAGTTTTGTAAATTTTGTTTGTGGTACATGGCATGCTGAATATAAAACACGTGTCTTCTTCACTTTAAATTATTTATTATGCTGTGTTTTTCATTTAATTAATAATGTACATTATTAATATTTTCCTTTCTAAAAATTATACCTTATTTCTCTGAATGTAGTTCTGAAAGATAAAATGTGAATGTTATTATAGGTACTCTGTATGTTTATTATAGTATAATGTAATGGGATAACCATTAAATTATTTTATATTCAAGTCTGTGTAATAGTTTCATGTTACAAAAACTTGAATTTTTGTACAAAATTTTGAGTAATCATTATTATTTTATTATTCATTTTATCCAAAAGGTCACTTTAATCAGCAAATAATTAATTTCATTTGTAATGGGATCTTTAAAAGCTTATCAAATTACACTTGCATACCTTCCAGTTTGCAACCACAATATCTTATCTTAGGAATCTGTATTTAAAAAGTTAAGATGAGTATCCTATCTGTAACAATATACTTCTACTATCCCCCAAAAGAAACTGTAATTGATCACATCATAAGCAATGTTGGTTGTATGAAGATGTTTTAATGAGGAGTTAACTGAACTGTGAAAATATACTTCTCAGTGGTATTTTCCTTAGAAGGCCAGTATAAAAATTTTAATTTCATGTATTTTTACTAAAGGTGTTTAAAAACTTTAACCATAAGTCCTTCTGTTATTTATTTCTCCCTCAGTTATTTGAAAGGTATTGAGTCTTTTTTCAAAACTAAATTCTGTTATATGTATGTTTTATATTAGTTTTCTGTTTTATTTTGAACAGCTATTTGTTTTCTAGATGATCATAATTTAAAACTACAGGAAGTTTTAAGCTTAAACATCTGTCTCAAGTCACATCACAAAATGATCAGAAATTTTATTTATTTCCTTTTTTCCTCATTATTACTTGCTATCCATATGGTGTTTTTCACAGAAATTATGTGTGTTATTTCTAGATTATCATTTCCTGAAATACTTGCATATAATTAAATTACAATTTAGAGACCTATCTATAATATATCTGTTTTGCATGATTCCTTCACATTCAGTTATTGATTTAAGAAAGAGAAATTTAAAAGAAATGCATTTCTTACTTTAGAAGTTAAAAGTGGTCAAATGATTTTGAATATATATATTAAAAAAAAAGGCTCTCTGTGTGTTTTTTAATAAACCAGGCATATTTTGCAAATGAATGGTATTTATATATTTAACTTGATTAGTATTATTTTCTTAATTTAGGTTGAAATAACATATATATATATATATATATATATTCCTCTAAAATAAGTATTACAAGCAAACTGAGGGCTTAGCCATGGGAAGCCCTCTTAGTCTCATCCTTGCTGATGTCTACATGCATTATTATGAATCAAAATTATTTGAAACTTTAAACTTCCTGGTATGGTTCTGCTACATAGACAATACTTTTACCCTGTTTGAGAGTAATAAAGATTATTTAAATAAAGTTCTTTTAATTATGAATTCCATTGTTTCTGCCATCCAGTTACTTTTGAATTTGAGACATCCATTTCTATTGTAGTCCTCAACATTTTGGTCACACGTAACATATCCAACTTCAGTACTATTATTTAGATAATAGTACTGAAGTTTGGTTTGCCTTCTACCATACTTCAGATCATGTCATCCATCTAAACAGAAGTTAGCATCATTTTATTTTTTTGTTTTCTGTGCACATCAAGTTTGCCCCTCCAAATTGATTGATTTAGAACTAAATTATTTAAAAGCAGTTGCTATTGACAGGGGCTTTTCACCCAACATTATTAACCAAGCAGTTAAAAAAATGCTCTTCTCAACCCATCAAAAGACACACTCTCATTTTAGAAGATTATAAGAATTCTGTTGTCATTCTTTTTTTTTTCCATCGATTAGCTGTACAATTGCACATATTTTACAGAAATTTAACTTTTGAGTAATTTTTTCTCCTAACAATAAAATTTCCTATTCCATTCCATACTTAAGGACGACCACTTTCCAGATATGAATTCTTGGGGTATTTACAGGATATCTTGCCAGTGTGGTTTAATTTACTTTGGGCAAACTAGGAAAGCCTTAAAATTTTGCATAAAAGAACATGAGGCATATGTTAGGAAAAAGGAAACTCGAAGTCCTCTGTTGCCCAGCATTGTTGGTCCAAAAATCACACATCCATTTTTCTGCAGCCAAAATTATTCTAAAAACATCTTCCATTAGTGAATTAGATTTTCTAAAAGATGTTTCACATTCGAAAAAATCTGCCTGTTCTAGTTAACGACCCTAATTCCAATCCATCTTTACTTTCAGCCCTTAAGGAAATTATGTTTTCATTTTTTTGTTTCATCAATAGATGGTGCCAGTAGCTTAACTTCAATCCAGCCATTCTTACCTTATCACTATATCTTATCTTGTTCATTTGGACTTAGGCAGCTGAGGAAGATGGTTCTGTAGTTAACTCATCAAAACTAGTGTTGCAGATTCTCATTGTTTGACTTCTCCCATAATTATTTTATTAGTTTAAAAGTATTAAAATTATCAGTTTAAGAATGAATGTTTTTAAGTATTACTTGTAAAAATGAAAAATTAATTAAACTGCTGATTATAATAAATTTGTGGTATATTGCTTCCCATGTTAATAATATGATAGCACTTCATTATTCACATTTATCACTCTTTGTGATGCAGAATGGTGAGATAGCACGAGTGTTGTCTCTGTAATTGTATTTTTATGAAAGATTTTTATGAAATGTGCAGTTGCAAGTAATTAAAAAAGAGTTAGCAATAAGCCTACTGCAGTGAACCTAACATTTAAGGAAAGTATGTAGAAAGAACTTGCTGTCAGAGGAGTTTGGATATACAAGAACAATCTTTATTCTTGAAAATAATCATGAAAATAAGCTTCTTGAGAAAATTAGTAGTTTTAAAATTATTATCTTTTCTATTTATTCTCATGGCAAGATAGATTCCCAGTTTGATATTATATTATCGTATTTTGCTTTAATCTCCTTTGATTTAAAAGCCATTAAAGCTTCCTGTTGATGAGCTCTCATTACAAAATCTCTTCTGGCAGTTTTGATTAAATGAGTGAGGCATACTAATCAACAGATATTTGTGACAATAAGCTCCATAAAGGTAGTATTAAAGTGTTCAACTTTTCTCTCAGTGTAGTACTAGAACTATTTTCTCAGAGCTCTACTGTCAGAAAATACTCCTTTTGTAAAAGTGCATGATGCATGCAATATGTACTTTTACAACTGGACTTTTTTGCAATTTTTTTTTTTTTTTCCTAATCTTCTAAGGTCCAAAGAAGGTTCTTTATGCCAGGTGCACTCCTCCAATGAAGATAGACATTACTTAAAATGTTTCAGTGTTGCAGAGTCAGTTCATGGACTATTCAGTTGGAAGGAACATCAAATTTGGGAGAAAATGTTATATTGGCCCTTTTCAATCTTTAAATTATACAAATTATACAAAAATTATATAAAAAAAATTTTCTGAAAAATCAGTTAACAGTGAAATAGCTATTAATGTAAAAATTAAATGCACGGAATATGAAGGGGAAAAAAAATGGTCACTTCTTTGCATATTCAGGTCTGAAGCAGAATTTTACTGGTGCCTAAATAGAATTATCTTCTGATATAAGAAAAAAATGCACTTTATTGTGCAAGGTTAGTATAGAATGCTATTGAGTTTAGTAAGCTCTTTTATTTATATATTTATTTATTTTTGTTGCTGTTGTATAATTGGTGACAAGTACAATCTCTATTTCCTTATCCTTCTTAAACTGTTATTATTGAAAAAAAAAATTAAACATATTAATTTAAAGATTATGTATTGGCTTTAATTTTTATTGTTTTAAATTATTAAGGCTTCATAATATTGTCTAATAATATTTATTTCTTGTTTGAAAATTCTTAAATGGGGAAAACAAGCATCCTCATAATTTGGGAATATGGTGATCTCAGAAAATATGTTGCTTGCTTTAATTAATTGATTGTAAATTGGAATATAAAGTTAGTATTCTGTATGTTGCATTTGCTTTTATTATCATTTTCTTAAAAACATGGGGATTCCTGGGAATATTAATTAACGTGTTTGTAATTTATGCTGCTAGTTGCCTTTACTTGCTATTAATTTTCGGATTTTGCTAATTCATGGCAAGATAGTCATTCAGAAAGTAATAAAAGGTTAATTTCATCATTACTTAAAATTAAAATTCAGAGCTTACTTCATCATTTTTTAGACAGAATCTTTGAATCGTCACTGATTGTTAGTTGGTTAGACCTTTCAGAAAATTATAGTATGAACAATAATATATAATTTTACAATCAGCTTAAAGAGTAATTTTCTTTGATATAATTACAAGTAATATGTATGTCTCTGAGAAGCTGTAATATAGGGAAAATCTAAATGTTACCATTTCAGCAGCATTTAATATAATCTGATGTTCAATGTGTATCTCAATGTGAGTATTACTGGTTCTTTTCCATTAACAAAGTACTGCCATTTGCCAAATGTGTTCCAAAGCACAAAAATGTGGTAGCCTGTTTATATTCAATCATAAATAGCTGTGCAATGACATTACAAATAAGTAGGAAGAATAACATCAAGTCAGGAATTATTTCTCTTAGATTTTTGGTTGCTTAAGGAGATAAATAGGAAGTTGCAAGTTAATCACAGTGTTATTGATCTTTGTACTGGATTCTATGCACAAAATAGGGCGTCAGTGCAGCGCTGACTGCCACCATCAAGATTTCTTCCTCACTGAAATCGGGGCGGCAACTGTATGAAAAGAGACAAGTATTTTTGACATTATTAAATGAAATCAGCAATTTTATTTTTCCTGTGTAATCTGAAAATAATCTAGCAAAATTTATTTTGTATTTGTCTTCATTTTTTATATTTATTCTGCTTTTAATAAATTAGTTATTCTTTTCATGAAGCTTTACGTATTGTTAGCATTGCTGTCATCTTAGTGCCAACATTTTACATTTTATGTTAAGTAGTATCCTGTTAATATAAAAGTATTGTATTGTTTTTTAATATTTATTTTGCAATGAGAAGTAATGAAATATGAGTTCTTACTCTGAAACTTATTGTTGATACTATTTATTTGAAATTGTTTTAAAATTTTCATATTATGTATAATTGCTTCTACTTGTCATGGTTAAATACCCTATTAAGGGTTTTAAACCATAACTATGGTTTGTGAAGCAGTAGCCTTTTTTAACTTTTTATTGTTTAATTATCTATTAAACAAGTAATTTAATTTTTTTTTTTCTTCTAATTTTAGATCAGTTGCACCAAAATTCCATTGTCCGAAACCATCGAACACACAATGGGAGCATTTCTAAATCTTCTGAAAAGAAACCATTATTAGGAGAGCAAGATTCAGATACTCCAGGGGTGTGATTTCTCGATCTCCCAAATCAAAAACTACAAGAGTATATGCATCACAAACTTATACCTGCTGTGTGCAATACATATAGTGATAATGGCATTACAAAGCAAATAAAGATATTTTTTTTAGCAAGCTGGCTTTTATAAATTCATTTTGCTTGACTTTTTAATGGAAAAAGGTGCTACTGAGTAAGAGAACCATAATTATGAGTTCCTTAGTCCATTTAAATTTAGGAATTTAATTTCTTTATTTGGAATTTTGTCATATTCATATAATGAACTGTATTTTATATTAGTTGTTTGTCCTTCATAAAACATGCAAAAATTATGCCTTGTGTCTGTTTATATTTTAAAAAAATTAAAAATTGTTTTTGTACAAAGTAGATTTGAATTTTAAGTATTTATTAAAAAAGTTAATTTAAAATTGAGATTCAGAGTTGCCATATTATTTATGCCATTTCTAATTAAAATTTGTTGATTTTTCTCTTCCTAAAAATGGTTAAAATCAAAGTTATTTTTTTATTTTTTATTATTTCAAAAGATGACCTTTTTGTTAGGTAGTATAAATTTAGTATGAATCAAGAATTAATGTAAACAGAATTAAAAAATACAAATGTCCTTAAATAATAAAATTGTGAATAAAGTAATGGTACTAATATATTTATAGAAAGAGAGCTATATATAAATAGATAGATTAATTCAAAAGGAAACTAAAGTAAAATTACTGATAACTTTTATCTAGTGACTTTTCTTTTTGTTGAAATATTATACATAAAATTTATATGTTGTTTTAGAAAATTTAAATCATTTTGAATTGAAGACAAGACTTATACAAAGTAATTATTTATTTTTGAATAAATTATTACTGAATGTACAGAATGTTACTGAATCTTTTACTTATTTTGAAATAAATATTTGACCTTTTATAATTATCTTCAAACCAGTAATTTGAGTAACTTTAACGTTTTTTTTTTTTTTTTTTTTTTTTTTTTTTTAGATTATTTTTTCTTACATATTATCTTCCGTGCAAAAAAAAAATGCATATATATATAGTCTTTGCAAAAGGGCAATGTAAGAATATCACAAGTATTATTGTATGTATGTGTTTTGTATGTATGTATTATTTGTGCAACAGTTTTTTATATCATATTCATGCATATGTGATAACCAAGTCATTTTCATTGTGAATTTCATATTTTGGAAGATCTCCATATTTATTTATTTACTAAAGGTGCATTATAAGTTATTTTTATTCTTTAATTCTAAAGGAGTTTTGTATTTCAAATACTACGTCATCTGACTATGTTTGTTTATTTCATCATTTGTTCCTGAGATTACTTTCTTGTTACAAAATGAATGATATATTTATCTGTTCTTCCCCACTGAAATTAAGTTTCATAGATTTAGTATAAAAGTTATTCAAACTGGATATAGACATTCCTTTATATAAGTTTATTGTATGCTTATACAAGTTCTAAGTCAGATTTTCATGTTTATTATTTTTATTTCTTTATGATATAATGAAAAATGTATAAATGAGCTGAATACTCTGCCACTCTAGTTCTTTATTGTTTACTCCTCAACAGCTTGTATTATATCCAGTTCATATTAGTTTAATCATTTAATTATTAGATATTTTTTATTCCATGCTTGTATCTCTAATATATGCTTGTATCTCTAAATATTTACCATTTGAATGTGCTTAAGTTCTCTATATATGTGTATCCTAAGAATTGGGAAGTATCTTTTGGAATGCTTGAAGTGAAACAAAATTTTAATATTATGTAAACTCATCAAAGTGATCTTAGAAGCTCGTGAAAAAAAAATCGAGTAGTTTGATAAATTAAAAATTATGATTAGATATATTTATCATAGCTACCAACTTTCCCTAATATTTTTTTTTTTTTATGCATCTCTTGATTTTCCAGTAGATCAACAGTTTCTCTATTTCTAATTTTTAGACTTTACTGAGAAAACCTTTTTTACAGCAATAAAGGAAATATGTTGAAATGATGAAATTTAAAGTGTCCAATTTTCATTTTCCCACCCCTACTGAATTTCAGCGTAATTTTTGTCATCAAATTTCATTTTATCTGAATTGTCGAAATTTATAGTGGATATTTTTAGAACTTTATAAGAAAAGTACTAAATGAAATTATACAGGAAAAGGTAAAATTCAGAATAATTAAATATTAATGTATTTTGTACCAGAAACATATTATAAGTAGTTGAATAACTCAAGCCATGCATTATAAAAGCAAATTTTAGTCTGGGGTTCTTTTGAAATGGAGCCATTATACAGCACAAATCTCCTGGAAATTTCAGAGTTTTGGCACAAAAACCATACGGTGTTTCATATTTCAGTGTTGGCATCTATGATATATAGGTTAACTATGTGTAATAAATTGGTTGTATAGTAAAATCAAATAACTTATATTTGAGGTAGGGTAAGATACCTGCAGAATAAACAATTATTTTAAATTGCTTTCAGAGTACATGTTGATAGATATTTTAGTGTGTAAAGTTGGAATATATTTTAAATATAATTGTAATTTTTTTATATGATAAACCAGAAGATTGTAAATTTAATGTTGTCATTAGTATAGCATCTGTTTTATAAGATGTTTTAAATTTTGTATTAGAAAGGTCAAATTTTATTTTACAGTATTTGTTTTTTAATGCAAATTACATTGCAATCATATTATCAAAAAGATGTAATTTTATACATGGTGAATTTTTATTTTTATAGTGTTTGTGAAAATAAACTTTGTTTCATTCTTTGATGTTTAGATAATAAAATCAAAATTTAAATTTTTTTCATTAATCTTTAAATAAGGTTGGTTGCTTGATATGCTGTTGACTTCTTTGTCAAATAAATTATGGTATCCTAGGTAAAAAGAATTTTATTTGGAAATAATTTTGTTTTTATCTCAGAAAGCTATAAATTGAAATATTATTTAATTTTTATATGATAACTGTACTGAAAGAGGAAAAAAAAATTGCAAAAGTAGATGCAGGCAATAGCAAAATATAGAAATGTGTAAAAGAAGAAAACATACTTTCAGTACTTGTAGTATAGATGACCTTGAGAAACTTACTTTTAGTATTTTGTAAAAAAGGTGAATTTGAATATCCCAGAACCTCCTCCCCCCTCTTTTTTTTTAAAGAATATTTAGTACTCTTTTTTACATCTGTTTTGCATTTATGAGGTGAAGCCCTTAATTTCGTTTCTATTCTTTAGTCACTTCAAAGAGCCTGTGTTTGAATTTTCCACACCACGTTGAAAATACAAAGGGAATATGTTATTACAACAGAGAGAAGTTACAAATAACAAGAACGTGATATAACTTGTAGCTTATAGTAATTAAGTATTTACAACTCCGTTATATGTACAGTTGGTTTATTATTCAGATTTCCTAATTCTCAAAGAATAAAAATTTAATAAATTCTTAATAAAAGATCCATTTACTAATGGCAAGTTTTAACATTCATTAGCAATCAAATGGAAAGATTGCTAAACAGTAATAGTTTGACCTTGTTTAAATCCTGGCATATGGGCTGGATATTTTTCATGGTTTTGCCCGTGTAAAACATGACTATAATCCAATTTCCATTTAAAAATTCCTTCATGAAGATATCATTTCCTTCAGGCAGATAGCTCTCAAGTTCTTTGCTATATCCCAATCCACTTCATGGCAATTTATCATGCAAATAGTTAGATCTTCACAAACCAATATGAGAGATTGACAGTGATAATATCTGCCACCTATTTCATGATACCTCCATACTGTTGTCTTAAATCCATTTATTTTGTGTAATTTTGGGAAAATGAGGTCAAAAATAACAAAGCAATATTAAATCTTTAGTGGTTAATTTAGCTGAAAAAATTCTGGTACATTTTATTTATTAAAATTCACTTGAAATATTAGTTAGTAAAATAAATGTTACTTGAAAATGGAAAGTTTGGGAACATTTTTGTCTTATTTATTCCTGCATTTGTATCAAATAAACTTTATTAATTCTTTATGCATAGATATTAGCCAAAACTATGAAGCATTGGTAGTTTGCCTAGAAATTATTTCTAGTGGCTAAATGAAATCTGCGTAAAGTTTTCATGCTTTCTTCCTATTTAACATATAAATTTATTTTCCTTAAAAATACCTCCATTTAGGTTAATTGCCTAAGTTTGCTTTATCATAATCCAATCTATTTCATATTAAATCCTTAAAGGACTATTTTATTGCTTCCATTTCTATAGATTTTAAAGTGTAAGGTTTACTGAAATTGTGAAAAATTACATAAATTTATTTGGTTATAGTGTTTATTTATATTATTTAATTAGATACTAGTAATCAAGAGTAAGTCAATACTTGCTTACTATATAGATTTATATCCAAATATTATTATCAATTAAATGTACTAAATATTCCCTAAGAAAGTACAGAATCTGAGATCACTTACTAAGTCTATCCAATATAAATATCTATTGATTATTGGTAAGTGTCCTGGAATCTTTAGGAAAAAGAGGTCTGTATTTGTCCTTTCCTTATTCTTTAATGACTGAAATGGAGACAAATAAAATGTTTTTTATGTGATACAAAGATTATAGTAGTAGCTTGCATTTGGGTCAGGATGTGGATTTAATAGCAATGTTTACTGGTATCAAAGAAGTGATATACCATGTCCACCAAAATTCTTATCTGGCTTTTATTTTTACAAATATTGATTGTAGACATAAACTTTGAGTTACAAAATGTTCCAAATTATGCATATATTCATGTTTTAGTATTTTTTAATTTAAAAACTTCATATTATACAGATTAGGAAATCTAAGTTTTAGTATGTTTCTTCAATCCACATATTTATATGTAGAAAAGTTTTATACTCCATAAAAAAAATTGAAAAAATGTGACAGTTGTGAAAAAATGACCTCAATCTTTTACAATATTGTTCAAAACAATATCGTAATCAGGGGCTGTACATATAAACTGAAAAGTGAAATGGTTGCATTTGTATACAACTAAAAATAAGATACCAACTTTAAGAAAGGTTTCTGGTATTAAAAATTTAAATGAAGGCCATTTTTATGCAGATTATCATTAAAAATATTGATCAACATAATTTTTTTCTGGAAAAGATATTGTTGCGTTTTTTTCTTTCTGACATCAGTTGTTACGTTATTTTCTTCCTTCACGTTCGTAGATTTGGAGTGAATAATGACAACACTTGATGAAGTATCAAAACACACTTTATTTACCAATATTAATCAGATAGCTCCAAAGTCACTTTTATAGTCGTTGAACTGTTATAAACACGCTGACACGTTCAGCGACACAGCCTTCACACTGTCAGGCAATAACGGTGCAGACAGCTTCACTGCAGAGCACCCGAGTGCAGCTCCCAACTCTGCTTGGTTGTTCTCGAAACTCCATGTACTCTCAAGACTCTCCATACGATGCACTCGATGATACACAAGAGTATAGCTTTCGACTCAGCACAGTCTAAGACAAAACTGAACGATGCACTAAAATACTCTGTCGTTGCACTCAACAATCAACTCAGTGCTAGACTTCGAGACACTCGCTCAATGACTGACTATCAGCTCGCTAGACAAGGCACACACACTAACTGACTGCAGACCAGCAGGGTTTATATAGCTTTCAGCTTGTGTTCGAGAACATTCTGGGCTAAACTGTTAAGAATTCGTTCCAGAAGGTTCTCCAACCGTCCATGGTATATCGCCAATTTTGTCGCCAAATGTGGCAACCCTGCCTTCCCCTTGCCATTTTATGGCAACCCTAAAACTGCTTTGTGGGGAAGCTATCCCACCACGCCTGTACATTTTGTAACAATATCTTACTTGCAGAATCTTACAGTATTCATATTCTGGAAAACACTGGTGGGCATCAGCATTGTTGCATACCCAACTCGTCACATTTTATCTTTGTAAATTAAAAATATTTCTAGTTTAATGATGATTATTAGATTATGATTCTAAAGTAATAAAAGTGCATGAGAATATTAATGATATGTCTTTAGCTTTTCAAAAGTTACAAATTGTTTGAAAATTTTTCCAACATACCATATGTAACAAAATTATGTTACACTTTGCTGAATCTCAAAAAAATATTACTGATTGACATTTTAAGGGATAAAATCGTTCTCAAATTATTTTGTTTTCCTCAAATTTAAATATTGCTTCAACAGTGGAACAGCTATTAAATTTCTTTGATTTTCATGACATGCTATTCTAAACTATCATGCTTGTTGAATATACAGTTCTCTGTTTAGATTGTGTGGCTAAGTAATCATGAATCTGTATAAAAATTTATGCATAATTGAACATTTCCAGTGCACACATGTACAGCGTGTTCAAGATAGGCTTTATTTTCTAAAATACTTGACCTTGAGATATGCTTCTGATCACAAAATAAAGTAGGAAATTTTATAAAAGTAGTTCCATCTCTGGCTGTAAAGGCTGCAAAAATATAAAACCTGACATTTTATGTGTCCTTCATATAGAAATAGAAATTAATAATATTTTCATTATGCTTTAAATCAATTGAAATTAAAACATTCCTTTTGCATGCGAAATTTGCAGGGATATTCGAGAACAAATTTACTTGAGTCATTTTTTAATGTTTATTATCGATTTAAATGTATAAATTTTCAACCGAAAGTTACGGAGCAACTACGAATTAAATATTTCTCTTTTTGGAAATTAATAGTTCCAGGATTGGTAAAACAGTAATCATAACTAAATTTGTTGCGACTTATCTCACTTCTCTGGCAGTGACATCAAGTTCAAAAATTTTGTCGTCACGAGCGGTACTGGATTGCGTCTGCCATTTGCATGAACCTTGGGAAGCTTAGATATGACAGTATGACTTTGCTCAGTTTTGAAGAAGAGACCCCCGGCGGTTTCTAATACCTTTCCCCTAGCACCAAAACATTGGAGAGCATTTTTGGCTCACAATGGATATTAAATGCCTCCTAAGCCACAAAGGCACTACACACTTGCAAACATCCATATCTTCTGTGGTATTCGAACCGGGGCTTAATGATACCAGCAGGGCCGCCGCGTGGGTATTAGGCGACTTTGTTCGAATTGAAATTTGGCACCCTTTTATGAGGTTCTGTTGCACACTTATAAAGTGTTGCAAATTATATGTGAAATACCCTTTTATAGTATTCAAAATTTGACTTTCGAACTGAAAAGCTTTAAAATTATAATATTAAAACACGTTTGTCTTATTTTTATTATTATTATTTAAAAAAAAAAAATGATTATAAAAACATTTTTGAGTAAAATATAAAAATTAGAAAATATATTCAAATATTGATTCTCCTAGCTTTAGCAGCTACAAACGCGCGTATCAATTCCTTTATATTTAATTTATCCAAAATTTCGCTCTCTATGGATATAATTGACAATTCCGGTAATATCTCGCTGCGCCATGGTAGATCGTATGTAGTTTTTTTATAATTTTAAGTTTTGAAAAACTTCGTTCTCCAGTAGCCAGTGTTAAAGAAACCGGTAAAGCTATTGCAGTATTTGGAAAGGTGATCAGTAAAAGATTGTTTTCATAAATGTAATTTAAAACATCGATAGGTGGCATGTACTCTTTGGTAAAACATCGCAAAGATTTTATTTCTTTGAACAAATTTAATCCATCAACGTCCTTTTCATTAACATTTTTAGTATCTAGTAGTTAATTCTTGTTATAATTCTTTAGAATGTTTTAAAATTTCATTGCCACTCTAGTTTTTTAAATTAGGTATATTACTACCTTGAAGTAATTGTAATGTTCTCTTAATTGACTGAATCTTTCAGTAATTGAAGAAATAGCAGTGTCTAATATTCTATTGTAAAATTCACCCTTAAATTTTTGTCTTGGATTGTAGATTGGTTTGTCGGTTTCTTCATCTTGAAATAGTTTCTTTTTAAACCTGTTTCGACTTTGTGGAAAAATCAATATCCACCCCCATATCATCAGCAACGATACTTGCATTGGCAATTGCAATGTTCATATGCTTCTCTGATCTACGATTATTTAGTTCTGATATAAGATTTTGTAAATTGTCAGTCACGACTTGTAAATCACATTTAGAATTTTGCATTATTTCATTTACCACATTTACTAAATTTAAAATATCGGGCCAGATGTTGATGGAACAAATGAATTTAAACGAGGAAACCTCCTGAATCAAATTTTTTGCTTGAGTTCTTGGTTCTATGTCTCTTTTTTTATCTTGAATATTTATTAACGCTCTCAAAATTCCCTTCAAATCGTTTTTCAAAGGTCTTAAGCTTGAATTCTACATTCCCATCTGGTGATGGAGAGTAGCTTTAAAGTTAGTTTTTCAACATACGGTTGCAAAATAGAACAACGTTTAACGGATGAAGAAAAATAGTTGTAAAGCTTCTGCACTAGTCCAAAGAAATTAACTGTTTCGAAGGAAATTTTAGCTGCATCATTTACAACTAAATTTAGAGAATGGGCTGAGCAGGGGATATAGAGTGCCGTCGAATTATTTTCAATAATTTTTTGTTACAATTCTTTGTGCTTTCCTCTCATATTAGCACCATTATCGTAAGATTGGCCTCGTAAGTCTGATAAATTTAGTTTTAACAATTTTAAATGTGCATTTATGAATTCAAAGAGACCCTGTCCAGTAGTGTCGTCGGCAGATTGAAATCTTGAAAAATTTTTCTTCAATTATTGATTTCCTCGTTCTTATAAACAAATCGAATTACAACAGTCAATTGTTCAATGTGACTGACATCATGTATGGTATCCAGAATTAGTAATATTTTGACGATTTAATCATATGTAATAAATGCTTTTTAATTTCTTCTGAAGTAATGCTTATAATTTTTATCTGAATTTGATCCCGTAAGTAATGAGCAATGTTCTTTTGAGATGTTTGAATTTTGTGGAGATGTTCAGCGATTATGGGATCAAATTTTGGCTATGGTTTCAACCAACTTCAAAAAATTTCCATTATCACTATTGCTTGTTCGTCTAATCCTATTTTGTTTCTGAGATATTTATTTAGAAATCCCGCCAGTTTATGATTAGCTTCCTGTCGTTGAAATTTCCTTTTTCTATTTTGTATTCCAGACTTTTTTTTTTAGTACATGTTTCTAAAAAAATATTTATTTCCCTAAATAAAAATTTAATTTTCATTCCATATACAAAATGCATCGTATGATTTTCTCTCAATATACTATTTGAAAGTGGAAAAGCCATTTATGTCATTTGCAACTAAATAAAGATTCAGCTAAAGAAACTAATTTGACTGAAAAATTATAAAATTTTTTTTTGGGGGGCGGCAAATTTATTTCTAAGAATTTAGTATGAAATTTTTCTTCTTTCTGCTGATTCAAAATATTCAAGTAAATTAAACCAATATTAATACAAATTACTAAAAAGCATCTGTTATAAGCAACTAAAATATTGAAAACATCTCAGGTACATAATAATTATAAACTTTTAATGAAAAAAACACTATAATCATTAGTAATTTTTTTTCGATTGTTTGGAAATTGTATGTCAGAAATAGATGAATCAAATTTTCCCAATTAAGGGTA